AAAAAAAAAAAAAAAAATTAGCCAGACGTGGTGGTGTATGCCTGTGGTCCCAGCTACTTGGAAGGCTGAGGCAGTAGGATCGCTTAAGTCTAGAAATTGGAGGCTGCAGTGACATATGATGGTGCCATTGTACTCCACCCTGGTTGACAGAATGACACCCTGTCTCCAAAAAAAAAGAAACTAGAAAATTAAGCCGATGTAAGAGTGCAAAGTTAAGATTTCTACTGTGGGAAAACAAAACACCCTTGGCTTGGAATTGAGTGCCTGTCAGATCTCATTTGTGGCTCTGACAATGACCAGCTATGTAAACTAAACTGTGCCAACACCCAGGCATCTCGGTGTTCCCATGAAAGGAAGTCCCTGCTCACCAGAAATGACATGTGGCCCTACAAATGAACCTTGGGTTATGAGGCTCACAGACAGTGCTTTTTAAAAATTATTTATTTATTTATTATTTTTTTGAGTTGGAGTCTCATTCTGTCGCCCAGACTGGAGTGCAGTGGCCACTCCTGACCACCACAGCCTCAATCTGCTGGGCTCCGGCGATCCTTCCGCCTCAGCCTTCCAAGTTGCTGGAACTACAGGTGTGCGCTACCACGCCCGGCTAATTTTTTGATTTATTGTACAGATGAGGTCTCACCAAGTTGCCCAGGCGGATCTTGAACCCGTGGGCTCAGGCAATCCACTCACCTCAGCCTTCCAAAGCGCAGGATTACAGCCTGAGCCACCAAGCCCAGCTTAGTGCTTTTTTAAAAAAATTAAGATTTTTTCATAGCTACTGAGTCATTCCAGCTACTGGCATTGAGGATTCCTGTTCAGTGCGGCAGAAAGCTGGGCCTGAGTACTACGTGGAAGACGCTCCATAAACCCTAAGTGGTAAGACAGGAAGTGGTTACAGAGCTCTGATGAAGGATTTTGCCTGGATTCAGTTGGATTGAGTCTCAATCCCAAATGTTCGTGTATAGTTCTGGCATCCTTTGCACTTCACTGTCGTCCCACATACAGACTGCAACATAACCGGGCGCGGTGGCTGAAGCCTGTAATCCCAGCACTTCAGGAGGCCGAGGCAAGAGGATTGACTAAGTCCAGGAGTTCGAGACCAGCCTGGACAACTTGGCAAGACCTCATCTCTACAGTAAATAAAAAAATTAGCAGGGTGTGGTAGTGCGCGCCTGTGTTTCCAGCTACTTGGAAGGTTGAGGTGGAAGGATCACCTGAGCCCAGCAGATCAAGGCTGCGGTGGCCATGAGTGTGCCGCTGCACTCCAGCCTGGGCAACAGAGTGAGACTCCAACTCAAAACAAAACAAATTATAGCACAGCACCAGAGATAGACTGTCGGGCTGGAGTGACCTCGACTTGGGTTATTATGGGACACTTTACCTTCCAGCCTGGCTTGGCAATGTGCTTAAAATAGGGGAAGTGGTCCTCGATCCAAGTATAGATGTCTTTCAAGGTCATGCGCTTCCTCTCGGTGCTGTTGATGGCAAATTGTATCATGGCCATGTACGAGTAGGGTGGCCTCTCGGACACAGAGTTTTGCCAGGACGTAGATGGTCCTGAAGGCTCCTCAACCTGAGGGTAGTGAGAAGCCATAGAGAAAGAAAAAAGGGAATGACATGAAGACTTCCAAGAACCCCCCCAGATCCTTGAAGAACATCTGGAAACCGTTACCCCATAGGACTGTGCTAGAAACAAGTTCATCTGAGGCTACTACTTCATAGGATAGAACTGGAGGATTGGAAGGATCTGGAAGATGATCTAGCCGAGGCCTCAGTCAATAAGCAACTGCTTCTCTGTCATTTCATTGAAGATAATCATAGGGAAAAGTCTAGTCCCTTCTTTTTTTTTTTGAGTTGGAGTCTCACTCTGTTGTCCAGGCTGGAATACAGTGGCATGCTCAAGGTCACCGCAGCCTCAACCTGCAGGGCTTAGGTGATCCTTCTGCCTCAGCCTCCCAAGAAGCTGGAACCACAGGTAAGTGCCACCACGCCTGGCCAATGTTTTGTTTTATTATAGAGATGACATCTCACCAAGCTGCCCAGGCTGGTCTCGAACCCCTGGGCTCAGGCAATCCTCTTGCCTCAGCTTCCCAAAGTGCTGGGATTATAGGCTTGAGCCACTGCAACTGGCCATCTTATCCCTTCTGATTGAAATTTCTCAGGAGAGTTTGGGTGTACACTTTGATTCTCAAAGCACTGATGTCTATACTCAAACCATGGCTATTTTTCCGATTTGCAGATCAATGTATTCCTGATGTGATGTGGGTAAACCCATCTCATTTCAATGTTTCTATGAGAGAAACTTTCTCAAGATTCTGGAACAGACAAATGTCTGCAAACTATACATTTAGCTAAGTCTTTTTTTTTTTTTTTTTTTGAGTTGGAGTCTCACTCTGTCGCCCAGACTGGAGTGCAGTGGCCGCTCCTGGCCACCACAGCCTCGACCTGCTGGGCTCCGGCGATCCTTCCGCCTCAGCCTTCCAAGTAGCCGGAATTACAGGCATGCGCTACCACGCCCGGCTGACTTTTTGATTTATTGTAGAGATGAGGTCTTGCTACCCAGGCGGGTCTCGAACCCGCGGGCTCAGGCAATCCACTCACCTCAGCCTCTCAAAGGTGCGGGATTACAGGCTGAGCCACTGAGCCCAGCTGTACCCATCTTTAAAATAATAAAATTTAAAAGGCCGGCACAGTAGCTCAAGCTTGTAATCCCAGAACTTTGGGAGGCCGGGACAAAAGGATTGCCTGACTTCAGGGGTTAGAGACCACACTGGGCAACTTGGTGAGACCTTGTCTCTGTAATAAATAAAAAAATTAGCCTGGCGCGGTGGCATGTGCCTGTGGTTTCAGCTACTTGAGAGGCTAAGGCAGAAGGATTGCCTGAGCCCAGCAGGTCGAGGCTGTGGTGGACGTGAGCATGCCACTGCACCCTAGCCTGGGTGATAGAGTGAGACTCTTACTCAAAAAAAAGGAAAAAAGTCACACAGAATAGTATGAAGTGGAGTGCTACGACCAGAACTCAGACAATTGCTCGGACAGGCCACCAGATCCACTCCCCTTCCTAGAAATTCCCCGCCCTGGGCCAGACTTCCCTAGTGAGTGACAGAACAACAGTTCACCTTAACCTGTCTCTGCTCCAGGTGACAGTTCTCCTTTTCCTCTGTCTCTTGCTTGACGTGGCAAGAGCCCAGCCCATCGGAAGTCATCTTGCCCAGCCACTGGATGTTGGTCAGGCTGTTGTCAAGAGTGCAGCCTGCTGCCTCGCCGCCTGCTAGAGAGAAAGCATCCAATACCCACTTAGCTGCCCCATCAGATGCCCAGAAGGCCCATCAGGTTGGTGGTCAGGGATGACTTCGCCAAGACCTCTTAGGGACAGAGAACACCTGTTGAATCTACTGGGATCCAAGTGACTGTGCCCTTAGTGCATTTCCGGAGTTCGGGAACAGTTCTTGTTTATGGTTTTTTTTTTGAGTTGGAATCTCACTTTGTCGCCCAGACTGGAGTGCAGTGGTCGCTCCCGGCCACCGCAGCCTCAACTTGCTGGGCTCCGGCGATCCTTCCGCCTCAGTCTTCCGAGTAGCTGGAATTACAGGTGCACGCTACCATGCCTGGCTAATTTTTTTGATTTATTGTAGAGATGAGGTCTCGCCTGCCCAGGCAGGTCTCGAACCCACGGGCTCAGGCAATCCACTCACGTCAGCCTCCCAAAGCCGCGGGATTACAGGCTGAGCCACCGAGCCCGGCTTGTTTTTGTTTTTTTGAGTTGGAGTCTCACTCTGTTGCCTAGGCTGGAGTGCAGTAGCATGTCACAGCCACGGCAGCCTCGACCTACTGGGCTCAGGCGATCCTTCCGCCTCAGTCTTCCAAGTAGCTGGAACTATAGGTGTGCGCCACTACACCCAGCTAATTTTTTGATTTATTGTAGAGATAAGTTCTTGCCATTCTGCCTAGGCTGGTCTCAAACCCCTGGGCTTGGGCAGTCCTCTCGCCTCTGCCTCATGCTGAAATTACAGGTGTGCGCTACCATGCCTGGCTTAGGAGCACAGCTCAAACTGCATTTCAATCTGAATCACAGCCTTCGAGATCAGATAGACTTATACAAAAGTTATTGAGTATCTATACAAAAAAGGTCACTTTTCCTCTTTTTGCTTGTGATTTCTCCTTTTATCAAGATGGGGAAAGATTATTGCTTTCTTATAGAGTCGATAGAAAAGATAAATAGAAATAATAAATTCTTTTCCAATAAGAAGAAAGCAATAGAAATGCTAAATTATGACTGGACACAGTGGCTAATGCCTGTAATCCCACTTTGGGAGGCGTAGGTGAGAGGATTGCCTGAGCCCAGGGGTTCGAGACCAGCCTGGGCTACTTGGCAAGACTTCATCCCTACAATAAAAAAAAAAAAAAAATTAGCCAGGCATGATGGTGCACGCCTGTAGTTCCAGCTACTTGGAAGGCTGAGGCGGAAGGATTGCCTGAGCCCAGCAGATCAAGGTTGCGGTGGTCGTGAACATGCCACTGCACTCTAGCCTGGGTGACAGAGTAAGACTCTGACTTAAAAAAAAGAAATGCTATATTATAACTGCAACCCTTTCAACAGCACCCAAAAGATCTGGGTCAAAGTTTCAGGATGAGGTCTGGCATGTTGGCTCATAGCTGTAATACTAGCACTTTGGGAGGCTGAGGCGAGAAGATTGCTTGAGCCCAAGAGTTTGAGACCAGCCTGGGCAACATAGTGAGATCTCATCTCTACAAAAAATAAAAAAGCTACCCGGGCATTGTGGTGTGCACCTGTAGTCCCAGCTACTAGTGAGGCTGAGGTAGGAAGATTGCCCCCCAGGAGGCTGAAGCTGTGGTAAGCCATGATCATGACATTGTATTCCACCCTGGGTGATAGAGACCCAGGCTCAAAAAGGGTTCAGGATGGACAAAACGTTCCCCTGGCTTAGGCTAGATGCCCGTCGGTATCAAGGATCAACAGGACTGATCTTGAGACCTTGAGTGCGGGCCTTGCCACTGAAGAGGAAAGGTAGCCAGGCTCGGTGGCTCAGCCTGTAATCCTGCACCTTGGGAGGCTGAGGTGAGTGGATCGCCTGAGCCCACGGGTTCGAGACCCGCCTGGGCAACTTGGTGAGACCTCATCTCTACAATAAATCAAAAACTAGCCGGGCGTGGTAGTGCGCGCCTGTAGTTCCAGCTACTCGGAAGGCTGAGGCGGAAGGATCGCCGGAGCCCAGCAGGTTGAGGCTGTGGTGGCCAGGAGCGGCCACTGCACTCCAGTCTGGGCGACAGAGTGAGACTCCAACTCAAAAAAAAAAAAAAAAAAAAAAAAAGGCTGGGCTTCTAACCACTTTGCCTTGCAGACTACGTACCACAGCTCTGCCGCTTCTGCCCGCAAAGGGCTCCGGGTGGTCTAGGAAGACTCGCATCCCTAGCCATAGGTTTTGGTCCCAGCGTCTCAGGGATCACTTCTGTCCTCTTGGCACCATGGCTGGTCTGGGCTTGAGGCTGGAGTCGTGGAGGGTGAGTGGGCGCTCCCCCACAGCTGATGAGAATGAACTTGTTGGGCCCACTGCTGCCACTCTCTTTGCCCTTGGCGGTCAGTGCTGTGATAATGCTCTGGATGTTGGCATTGTTGGGGATGGCCACCACTTGGGTGTTGGGCATGGTAGGGTGGTTGATAATCTTGATCCCGGCCGGAAACTTGCAAGAGCTTGACTCTGCCATCTCCTGGGGGGCCTGTGCTTGGCGAGGCTCCTGGTGGGCAGGGGGTTCCTTGGGTTCCTCCTCTGAGGTTTCCCCTGGGGCATTCTGAACAGGAAGGGGCAGCTTCCGTCTTTTAAGAATCAGTGGCCGACGGGGGCTGGTTTTCATTATCACAGATTCAATCTGTGTTTTTAATCTCCATTGAGAATCACACGTGTGGACCCTGGAGAATGCAAAGAGCAGCAGGATATCAGAGATCTGTGAGGCGGAGATGGGGTTCTTTTAGAGAAGGGCGTTTCTCTTCAGGGCCAGGAGCATGAGTGCCAAGGCCTAGGTGAATGCTGCCTGGACTTTTGTAAAGACGTCGGACGGGACCGGGCTCAGTGGCTCAGCCTGTCATCCCAGCACTTTGGGAGCCCGTGTGTTCGTGACCCACCCGGGCAAGTTGGCAAGATCTTGTCTCTACACTACATCAAAAATTAGCCAGGCGTGGTAGTGCGCCTGTAGTTCTGGCAACTTGAAAGGCTGAGGTGGAAGGATCGCTGGAGCCCAGCAGGTTGACTTTGGGGTGACCGTGAATGCCACTGCACTCCATCATGGGTGACAGATTGGGACTCCAATTAAAAAAAAAAAAAAAAAAAAAGGCTGAGGTGAGTGGATTGCTTGAGTCCACAGGTTCGAGACCAGCCTGGGCAGCGAGACCTCATCTCCACAATAAATCAAAAATATCAGCCGGGCGTGGTAGCGCATGCCTCCACAATGAATCAAAAAAATCGCCGGAGCCCAGCAGGCAAGGCTGCGGTGGCCGGGAGCAGCCACGGCACTCTAGTCTGGGCGACCAAGTGAGACTCCAACTAAAAAAAAAAAAAAAAGAGATACTAAAACTACAGCAACCAAAGGAAAAATTCAAAAGAGAATTGGAGGCTGGGCATGGTGGCTCATGCCTGTAATCCCAGCACTTTGGGAGGCTGATCACTTGGGCTCAAGAGTTCAAGACCAGCCAGGGCAACATAGTGAAACTCCATCTCTTAAAAAAAAGGGGGTTGGGTGGGGAATTGATTAGAGACAGCCGAAGATTTCCTTGTGGAAGCCTAAGAATGTTCGGCTATAGAAACAAGAGGGAAGCCAGGTGTAGTGGCTCACGCCTGTAATCCCAGCACTTTGGGAGGCAGAGGTGAGAGGATTGCCTGAATCCAGGGGTTTGAGACCAGCCTGAGCAACTTGATGAGAACTCATCTCTACAGTAAATCAAAAAATTAGCCGGGTGTGGTGGCACACACCTGTGATTCCAGTTAGTTGGAAGGCTTGAGTGGAAGGATCACCTGAGCCCAGCAGGTCGAGGCTGCAGTGGCCGTGAGTGAGCCACTGCACTCCAACCTGGGCAACAGGGTGAGACTTCGACTCAAAAAAAAGAAACAAGTGGCACAGCTACAAAAATGTGGAGACTTCTTTTATTGCCTACTATAATAGGTCACTTGTAATGACCGTAGGGACAGGAATGGAAGACACTGGAATAGAACACATGGTAGTTAGGAATCCTGACAAAACTCTCATCCCATAATCCATTCTAGAATAAAGTTATTGTATTTTTGTTATCTTACTTTGTAAATGGTAAGTCAGTGCACACAGAAGCAGGGAAGGAAAGCAGATTGTACCACTACACTACTGTCATACTGTGGGAGAAATCATCTCCCAGTTTACAAGACCTCAGCTAAAAGGGAAACTTTCGCAGGGTGCGGTGGCTCAAGCCTGTAATCCCAGCACTTTGGGAGGTGGAGGTGAGAGGATTGCCTAAGTCCAGGGTTTGGGACTAGCCTGGACAACTTGGAAAGACCTCATCTCTACAACAAATTAAAAATTAGCCAGCATGGTGGCATGTGTCTATAGTCCCAGTTTCTTGGAAGGCTGAGGTGGAAGGATTGCCTGAGTCTAGCAGGTTGAGGCTGCAGCGGCTGTGAGCATGCCACTGCACTCTAGACTGGGCAACAGTGAGACTCCAACTCAAAAAAAAAAAGGGAAACTTCTCTATTCAAGGCCCATGGTCAAGTTGTACACTGCACAACTCTAGGGAGTGCTGTTCATTTCACAGGCTATTATCCTTGCATTAATAAAAAGAGTAATTTTCTTTTTCAATTTGCACTCTATATAGTGATTTTTTTTTTTTCTTGAGTCAGAATCTCACTTTGTCGCCCAGGTTGGAGTGCAGTGGCACGCTCCCAGCCACCGCAGTCTCAACCTGCTAGGTACAGGTGATCCTTCCACCTCAGCTTTTCAAGTAGCTAGAACTACATGCATTCGCCACCACGCCTGGCTAAATTTTTGATTTATTGTAGAGATGAAGTCTCGCCAGTTTGCTTGGGCTGGTCTCGAACCCGTGAGCTCAGGCAATCCTCTCACCTTGGCCTCCCAAAGTGGTGGGATTATAGGTGTGAGCCACTGCACCTGGCCTATAGTGACATTTTAGTACTTGCATGTGGCTATAAATATCTTGACTTTTTAAGCATGCTGCTTTATTAATATATCTTTTTTTTTTTTTGAGTTGGAGCCTCACTCTGTTGCCCAGACTGGAGGGCAGTGGCACGC